TCCCCCTGCTTGTGTTCCCTCTCTCACTTTCTCTGTCAAATAAATAAATAAAATCTTTAAAAAAAAATGTATCAACGATTAAATGAGTGATTAAACACCAGAAAAGTGAGATATTATATGTTATCCATGAGAGAAAAGATATGCAGTATATTACATGACAGTATATTGTATATTGAGCATGCACAGAAATGGTAAAAACACCTAATGCTAATTCACCGTGGCAAACAAATTATAAGCAGGATGGTAAAAGTACACTCCACCCCAGGTCCAGTGTGCCTATAAGTCAAATTGTGGTTTTGTAAGCCTGCATTATTGTGAGTCAGTATCTCTTTAAAACAAATAATGAGCAAAATGACTCATTTAGAATTTGTAGCAACTTGAAAGGTGACCATGGTTAAATATATTAAAATAATGAAGACTGTTAGTTATCTCTACACACCTTTTTGAAGAAATATTTAATTAAAACAATCTAATTGAGGGGCGCCTGGGTTAAGCGTCTCCCTTCGGCTCAGGTCATGATGGGATCAAGCCCTGCATCCGGGGCGGGCTCCCCGCTCAGCAGGGAGCCTGCTTCTCCATCTCCCACTCCCCCTGCTTGTGTTCCCTCTCTTGCTGTGTCTCTCTCTGTCAAATAAATAAATAAAATCTTTTAAAAAAATCTAATTGATTCACACATCTGTGAAAAAAAATTCATAGGCATTCTTTAAAAAAAAAAACTTTCTTTTTATCTCAAACTACCAAATGTTACTGAAATCCTTATTCTCTACAAAAGATTCTCAAAGAACACTGTCATGAAACTGCAAGATCATTCAGTACGAAGAGCTGCTCATTCTTCTGACCTAAGATGAACTAAAATGAATAGTCAGCATGCCACTGAGTCAAATTTATATTTTTAAGATGGAATTCTTCCAAACAAAAGATTTCATTTCAGCAAGCTTCTACAATGCATACTAGCAGTTTGCTTAAATGGTCTGCAAAGACTAAAAGCTTAAGCACATGTGGTTAAAAGCTCAACCAGCTGGTGCTCAGTGCCCTAGATGAGAAAGATGTCCACCAAGACCACATTTCGCTCCAGGAATATATTATGACTCACGTCAGTAATCACCCATTGCTCTAGGCTAGGCATAAGAGGGGTTCCTCCCAAGACGCTGTTGACACTATGCTTATGAAAGTTTGCAATGAGATGATCATTTGCATCTCAAAGAATAGAAACCATTGTCTTTAAAGTTAATACCATATCTCAACTAAACAGCGTAACTTCTCACAACTGCCCAAACAAAAATGCTTAAGAAAAAATATTTATCTCATTTTTTAAAAGTTCCCTGCTAAAACATGTTATTTATAGAAACAAACTGACATTTTAGTGTAAGCAAAATAAAACATGCATGTATCATAACTGTTAAAGAATTTGCTGCTTTAAATCAGGCTTTAGCATTCTGATTAATCAGAAAGTAAGAAGGAAAGAGAGAGGAAGGAAGAAGGAAGGAAGGAAGGAAGGAAAGAAGGAAGGAAGGAAGGAAGGAGCAACCATAGCTCAATGCTTATGCCTTAAAGTGTTTATATGCAGATTTTGCACAAGGTCAGGGTGGACACAAGCTGAGTGTACCATGCAGTTACCAAGAGGTTCAATACTTTGGGCAGAGTAAATAAGTGGGTAGCAAGTCAAGATGCCTATTATACTGGAACAAGAAATCTATTTCCTGCTTAATCTTACTTTAAACCCATTTCCTTTCCTCTAATGTGGTGAGATCATAGAATTCTGGAGTTGAACGCCACCTTTCAAGATAAACTGATCACCCTCTTACTTCACAAATTGAGATCTTGAGAGGGTAAGTGACTTGTCCATACCCCTGGTTGATGACAGAGATGGGTCTACAACTCAGAATTAAGGCTCTTTAAATGAGCCAGGCTGTTGGTGTCATGGAAAAAGCCCCTTCCCTGCTGGTCTCTCATTTCTACATTTCGGAGTTTTTCCTTCCAACCCACTTCATGGGTGACACTGACTTTTCTGCTTCTGTGCATTGCACTGTCCTCCACTATTTCTCACACTTACCTTAATTCCAAAACATAAAGACAGCTCACTGACAAGCAACTCTTAAGATAATGTTCTCTAGGGACAGTTTAACAACTTCAACAAGACACCTTGTAAAATAAACCGTTCTATAATTTCCTATAAATTTAAAAAGAAACAGAGAAAAGATTTCTTAAAATTAAATCTTGATCTTACAGGATCCATTCTAGTCCTGTACCCTGACAACTCAGTTATGAACAAAATGCCGAATCAAGTGTGAATAAGGATGGAGACTGCACCAACACATGCAGAGTAACTGGAAATTGTTACGGAAGCCACAGGAGGAAATAAGTATTATTACACGGGAAAAGAAGCGGTCAGGCGCACTTCCCACCCTGAGGAAGATGCGCAGTCTCAAACCGTCCCCTGCAGTGGCCAGTTCCATCAAGGGGCTGAGTGAGGGATTAAGCCCGGGAAGCAAAAGGAGCCCATTCTCTGCGAGGGTCACTGCAGGCCAAGCAGAGGGAAGGGCCCCTGACCCTCCTTTTCGGCAGCCTCCCCACAGAAACCCGCCCAAGGCCCCCGCCTCTCCCCGCCACCGCCCCCCCGCCCCGGGGTACCCGAGCCCTCTGACCTGTGAGATAGTTGGTCCACTTGTACAGAACCCCCTCCATGCTTCAGAGCCCGGCGCCGCGCATCCTCCTGGCCGGGCGCCGGCCGCGGTGCTGGGTAGGCGCGGAGCCTGGGCAGCCCCTCCCGGCCCGCCCGGGCACTCCCCGGGCAACCCCGCCGGCACCAAGCCGCCCTCAGCCCGTGTGCGCGCCGCCGGGACGTGGCGGCCCTTAGAGGCCGGGGCGGCGGCCGCCGCGTGGAGGTCGGGGGCCGCCAGGCGCGGGCTCAGACATCCCCGGGCGAGCCTGGGCGGCGGCGGCGGCAGCTACAAAATCACGACCGCAACCGGCCTTCGGCTCGCGCTTCCAGCCCACGGCGGTTCCCCTCCCGCTCCCCGGCGCTCCCTCCTCTTAGCCCGCCTTCCTTCCCCCCGGGCTCCCCGTTTGTTTTCATTGACCCCGACGTCGCTTTCACTTCCTGGATGAAAGGGGCCGGCTCGTCCCGGGAAACCCCTCCCCGGCGGCGGGGCTGGAGGAGCGGGCGCGGCCTGCTGCCCCACAGCGGTGCTGGAGGCTGCGGGAGGGGCCTGGCGGCCGCGGCACACCTTTCACCTCCCGGCCAGGCCACCTGACTCCGCCTCATCCTCCCTCAGGCCCGCGGCCGGCGGTCCCGGGGCTCCCTACACTTCTCCCCCAGCCCCGGAGAAGCCTGGACCGACCACGCCGTGGGGCTAAACCCTCCGAGTCCGAGTGGGCGGACTCGGACCCCGCGGCGCCCTCGGCCCCCCGCAGCCCCGAGGACTAGCTGGCCGCGCACACGTCCCGCGGGAGAAGTAGGCCGCTCAGGTTTTCCTATAGCTAAGCCTCAGGTCCTTCCGGTGGTTGTTTCAAGAACGTGAAAGAACTACCTATTTATGTTTCCCTCCTACCCTCCCCCCACATTCAGTGGGCCCAAGAAATTACCTTCTAGGAAGGTACCTCTGTGTGCCGCTGCGAGTCCTCCGGCAAGGAGCCGCGAGGGGCCCCAAGAGCAGTCACCACGCTGACAATTAACCTTAGATAGCGACTACTTCATTTAGAATATAAAACATGGAACCAAACTCTGGAATTTATTTTATTCTAGAAATAAGGGCTTTCCCCTAGCTTTTATGATTTTAAGAAATCCTGTTTGGAAATGATCATCTTACATAATGACAATAATTCAGATTTATGAAATGCCGCAGGCTTTAAGCGAAGCAGGCCCAGTGCTGCGGTTTTGCTTAGCATAGCCGAGGTAGACGAGGTAGAACGAACTCTCTTCCCAGAACCCAATCCAGGCCTGCGCTGAAGCTTTTCTGATTTGGGTAGAAAGTTTTTGGGAATTCACTGGGAAATCTGGTGAACTGGTGAATGGGTAGAGAGGTTGTGTAGTCAAGAGAATATAGTTTCATGTTAATGATAGAATCCAAGTGATGGCTAGAAGGCCGCGGTGACGGAGTAATAAAATTCAGTTTTCCTGTATGTTTGAAAGTTTTTCAACATAAAATGTTGGGTGGGGTAAAGGCTTGTTTTGTGTCAAACTTGGTCAAATCCCTGCTGCGGTGGGGTAAAGGCTTGTTTTGTGTCAAACTTGGTCAAATCCCTGCTGCGCATTAGCTGTGAGATTGGAACAAAAGGCCCAATAGTCAAATAACTGCATTTTCTCATCTGCGCACAGTGGATGGTTACCAATCTCGCAGAGCTGGTAAGAGAGGGAACACCGTCAAGTTTTCCCCCAACTCCCATGGGCCCTCAAATCGAGGGCGGCCCCGAGGGGTGGGGGGAGAGAAACACAAACCAGCAGCAGGTCCTAAATCTCTGGAGTTGGCTGGTGGGAAACGCCTTTAAAGGGGCGAGGAGCGGCAGCACCTGTGTTTACTCGTGACCAGGTGGCCGCCAGATTGTGTGTGGCTTAGCCTGGAACCTCTTAATGCATGACTCCACCCCGAGAAGGTGCTTTCAAGGACACCCCAGAAGCAGAATGCCTCCCCCGATGCCCGCCAGTGCTCTAGGGGTCTGAGGAGAAACCTTTTACGCCCAGAAATGACAGCCGTATTCTCTTGACTACAACATCCCACCTCCAGGCCGTTTAATTCTTTTTGCCGGTTTCATTTTAGGAAACGCGATCATTACTAGCGAACCCTGAGGAAACCTTCTGTAAAATATGCGGATTTAACGAGAAGCGGTGCAAGTGTTCCGTACTGCCTTAGCGACTGATGACAGCCATCCAAAGCGCCGGGTGCTAAAGGGACAGAACCCGGGCGGACAGACGAAAATTCTGTGGCGGAGCGCTGAGCCGGAAGGGGGCGGGGCCATAGAACGCCCCGCCCCCGGCCCTTTGTGACGTGGAACAATGCCTGCCACGCGTCGGAACTCTACTGCTTTCACAGCGGCTGGGCACAACCGACACGCGTCAAGGAACGCCGTGTCATCTGAGGCCAACTTCAGGAATCATGCAGTTTCTATTAAGATTAATCGTTTTCTTTTATGTATGGGGCATTTTTACTGCTCAGGGACAAAAGGAAGAGGAGAGCTCAGAGGAAGTGAAAATCGAAGTTTTGCATCGTCCAGAAAACTGTTCTAAGACAAGCAAGAAGGGAGACCTGCTAAATGCCCATTACGACGGCTTCTTGGCTAAAGACGGTTCGAAATTCTACTGCAGGTAGGAAATGCTGTGAATTGCCCCGGTGTCCAGTTAATGCATGAAATCTAGGCTCCCTCTACCAACCAGAAGCTAAGTGGTTGGTTAATTGGTTTGTTCTTGTTATTTAACAGTAAGAGTTGAGACTTTTATTCCTGGGGGGGGAGGGGGCCATTCCTACTGATATGCAGTAGTTCCCTATTGAACTATTACTTTTTAAATTATTAAAAATGTTGACCCAAGAGATTGTCGGAAGTACACTACATACACACGCACCCCGACCACCGCCACCACCCTTGGGATCCATAGAAGGTAAGTCATGGTACTGTCTGTAAGGATGTTCTCAGCATTTTTTTTTTTTTGGCCATTTGTTGGAGTCTCTTTACAGAGGATTAGGTAGGGTACTTTAAGAGATTTTATCTGGCCTTCAGAAGCATGATATTTACAGACTGAGGGCCACTTTCCAACTGTATCCAAAAACCAGGACAACGATAACTTTCACTGGTGTCTTCTGGGCCCTGTGTTCTCTCATTCCCCCCCCTCATCTCACCACTGCCTGCTCTGATTTAATTGATCGTTTATTACTCAGAGGAAGAATGGCTTTTCTTCGTTGGTGCTATTACCCTATAAAGATAGGATTGGGGAAAGTCAGTTCTTTCGATTTGGAAGAAAATAAATAAATTTAATAAGAAAAGATACAAATTTTAATTATTGTTCAAATGACTTTTTGAGGCTAAACCTGCACCATCATTTTTTTAGAACAAACTCAGAAAGATTAAATGAGTTATTTGGACAAGCCATGCAGCTAGTTAGAGGCCGGAGACCCATTAAAAAAGTAACTATTGAATAGTTTTTGCAAGATGGCAATAAAAATGATAATGACATGACTCCTAATGACTAGCTTTGGGCAAATCATACTTCTTTCGGGCTATTATGAAAGAAGTTTGAGCCAAACATCCCACTAGGGGGTTCAGAAGGAATATTAATATGGGAAAAGAGAGAAGACTCCAATTTTAAATTATAACCTCACGTCCAGATGTATTTTTTTAAGATTATTTATTTATTTATTTGTCAGAGAGAGAGAGAGAGAGAAAGAGCACAAGCAGGGGGAGCTGCAGGCAGAGGGAGAAGCAGGCTCCCCGCTGAGCAAGGAGCCCAATGTGAGGCTTAATCCCAGGACCCTGGAATCATGACCTGAGCAGAAGGCAGACACTTAACTGACTGAGCCACCCACATGTCCTGTCCAGGTTTATTTTAAAGTTTGATTTTATTTTTCTTAAAATCAGCTTACCTAAGTGTTGTTTTTTATTATAGCCGGACACAAAATGAAGGCCACCCCAAATGGTTTGTTCTTGGTGTTGGGCAAGTCATAAAAGGCCTAGACCTTGCGATGATGGATATGTGCCCTGGAGAGAAGCGGAAAGTGATTATACCCCCTTCATTTGCATATGGAAAGGAAGGCTATGGTAAGGTGTTTTAATATTATATCTCTAAGTTATATTTAAAAATAAGTCATAGCTTTGGGTATATATCCAAAAGAATTGAAAGCAGGGTCTCAAATATTTGTATACTCATGTGAATAGCAGGACCATTCATGAATAGCCAAGAAGAGGAAATAACCCAAGTGTCCATTGACAGATAAGTGGATAAACAACACATATACACATAAAATAGAATATTATTCAGCCTTAAAAAGGAAGGAAATTATTCTACATGCTACGACATGGATGAACCTTGAGTACATTAGACTAAGTGCCCAATCACAAAAAAACACACTGTATGATTTCACCCGTATGAGGTATGTGGAATAGTCAAATTCAAAGGAGAATGGTTGCCAAGGTGCTGGGGAGAGGGTGGAATAGGAGAAGTAGTTCAATGGGTATAGAGTTTCAGCTCTCCAAGATGAAATAGTTCTGGAGATCGGTTGCACAGCAATGTGAATATATTGAACTGTACAGTTAAAATGGTTACAGTGGTAAATTTTATGTTACATGTATTTCCCACAATTAAAAATTTTTGAATCACTAAAAACAACCAAATAAAATAAAAAACCACAGAGGAAATAGTTACAGAATCATAGGGCCCAATAAACTAGCTGTATCTAGTCCAGTCCAGCACGGTCCCCACTTTTTACGTATAAAGAAAATAAGACATCGTTGGAAGATAGCTCTCTGGCCAGAGTTCTTTCCCTCATATAGTGGCAGTACTCATAAAGATCCTGTATATTCTATAAGCTCTACCTTAGTCATTTTTTTTGTTTTAGTACGTATTATTTTATTAATTATTACATAAATGTCTATAGTATATACCTTAGGTAAGCAGTACAAAAGTCAAATTCATAAGACTTGGGAAACTGAAACATATGATCTTAGAGTAAAAAGACAGCACTGGAACATAGTAAAAAGAGGATCTGAATATAAAAAGCTGTCAGGGCGCCTGGGTGGCTCAGTCGGTTAAGCGACTGCCTTCGGCTCAGGTCATGATCCTGGAGTCCCGGGATCGAGTCCTGCGTCAGGCTCCCTGCTCGGCGGGGAGTCTGCTTCTCCCTCTGACCCTCCCCCCCCCATGTGCTCTCTCTCTCTCTCATTCTCGTTCTCTCAAATAAATAAAATCTTTAAAAAAAATAAAAAGCTGTCAGTCACTAATCCCCAAAATCAGGAGCAGCCTTGAAATGTGGAAGAAATGAACTGCTTCTTTCAATATCTTACCTATTTTTAAAATCCTACTGTAAGATCTGAGAACCTAGGTAAGCAGATAAATGGGGAAAATTTTTGCGACTACTGTGAAGACTCACTAACCAGTAATAAAAATGACCTAGCCATAGAAATAGGCAAGTAGCCCACTAACAAAAAAAAAATACAAATGACCTCTAAATCTATGGGAATATTTAGTTTCACTAATAATTAAATAAAGGGAAATCAAAACAAAATGAGACACCATTTTCACTCATCAGATTGTCAAAGGCATAAAAGTTAGCACAGGTATAGAAAACCAGCGTTCTCATGCATTATTGCTGGGAATGTAAGTCACTCGACCTTTCTAACAATTTCTATCAAGATTTAAAAGCACAGGGGCACCTGGGTGGCTCAGTCGTTAAGCCTCCGACTTAGGCTCAGGTCATGATCCCAGGGTCCTGGGATCGAGCCCCGCATCGGGCTCCCTGCTCCGTGGGAAGCCTGCTTCTCCCTCTCCCACTCCCCCTGCTTGGGTTCCCTCTCTTGCTGTGTCTCTCTCTGTCAAATAAATAAATCTTTAAAAAAAAAAAGATTTAAAAGCACATATCCTCTGACCCAGTAGTTCCAGTTACAGGAATGTACACACAGGTACATATAAAAGAATATTCATTACGGACTTTTTTTTGGTAGCAAAAAACTGGAAACTGCCTGAGTATCCATCAATAGGGAATTAGTTAAATATGATATAGCTATACAATGGATTATGGTGCAGCCAATAAAAAGAATGCTATAGAGCCATATGTATTAATTTGTTAAAAATAAAGTGGGATGGGGCGCCTGGGTGGCTCAGTCGGTTAAGCGTCTGCCTTCTGCTCAGGTCGTGATCCCAGGGTCCTGGGATCAAGCCCCACATCGGGCTCCCTGCTCTGTGGGGAGCCTGCTTCTCCCTCCCCCTCTGCCCCTCCCCACCCCTCCCCCGCCCATGCTCATTCTCTCTCTCTCTCTCTCTCTCTCTCAAATAAATAAATAAAATCTTTAAAAAAATAAAATAAATAAAGTGGTATAGAATGTATTCATGCAGGGAGTATTTATTGCGCATCAATGCCAGGTCCTGTTCCAGGCCTTGAGCATAAGCCAATGTCCAAAGAAGAAGCCATTTCCTATCCTCAAAAATCTTACATGTGAGGGGGAGAATTTCACATGTGCATCATGAATCTACACAGCTTATATGTGGAAGGATACGCAGTCGTCTGATGACACTAAGTGTTCCTGAGAAGGAAACCTGAGGGCCAAGAGTAAGGAGATTTCTTCTCACTCTCTAATATTTTGTACTGTTTAAATTTTTTGCCATGTGCATGTATCAATTTTTCTAAAGTTAAAAATTTTTTAAATTGCCAAAATTAAAAATGGAGCTGAATAAAGAGGGAAAGTTTTTAAAAGGGGAAAAATGGTCAGCCTGGCAGAGGGATGGTTTTTACTTTGCATTCTCAATTAGGTCCTTGCTCACTGTTGCTGTGTGAAGACTATAAAGAATCATTCCCTCCTCATAATATTTAGAATCCTTGCTAACTCCACCTATTTGAAATATTTAGTATATAATTAAAGTCATTAAAGATTAGTTTTCTACGATGAGATACTGTCATAACTCCCAAATATTTCGTTGAATGGCACACTTTCTTTGAGGCTGTTTTGTTAACTCATTAATAGTAGCGATCCCCTCACCTGTTCTTTCCAGCAAGAGCAGGGGATCCCTGCCCCAAACTGGATTGCAGGGAGGTTAGTGGCACAAGGCAGACCCAATCAGACTGAAAACTAACTCCTAAAGAGACAGTTCCAGGTAACTACAGCTTCATTCTCAATGCTTTTGGCCAGTCATTTGGTCTCATCAAAATAGCTTCCATGGAACCATAATTTGTATATCCTATTTTTAGTTGTAGAGGAATCTGGGAGAGGGAGAGAAAAAAAACTGAAGATAAATTAAATTGAATGCAATACTTGCCCAAAAATATTGTCATGAGTTGAGGCCGATTCTAGGCAAGCTGATACAGGCAAAGTTTGCCTTTTAGACTTTTTAATCTCATTTTAACCACATCCCTCATCAATATGTGCTCATCCATTCTATCAGGCCCCCTTTCCCTATAGCAAATGACCACTTAGTGATCCTTTTTGTAAACTAGTTTATGCTTAGCTATGAATGACTACCCAGGCTGCCCAAGCTATTAATAAACCAGACCCGTGCTGCAGAGAGGTACAAGTTTAACTTTGAAGAAGGTAGTTCGTATTCAGTTTGAGGTGTCCCCAGTAAACATAAAAATGATGAATCTCATTAGTAACACCGCCAGCACTTTTGTTTTACACATAAGGAAACTGTGGCCCAACAAAAGTATGCTCTTTGGAACATACTTAATTGCTGGTTTACCTGCATTACAAGAGGTAGGATTAGCTTACGTAAAAACTGCAGTGGAGACCATACATAATGCTTACAAACCACTTCTTGTCAAATAAGCTTCTTTAAATAAGTTGTTATTGAGACTTAACATGAGCTATAACTTTATTTTAGGCAGTACTTGAAGAAGGCTTTCCTCTGTGCAGTATCCTTGCTTCATATGACAGAGCACCCTGCATGACTTGAAATGCATGTGACTTTTTAGTGCTTTAATTAACAGTACACGTGGTATGTATAGATTCTTTACATTAACTCCTATGTCTTTGATCTTCTCTAAATACAAGTAATTCTATAGCAAATTCACGTTTTTCTCCTTTTTATGCTCTAATTTCTTTGTAAGACAAAACCTAATTGGCAATATTTTCTGTATTTACAGTACAATTATTCAGAAACTTCATATGTACGTGTAATATTTTTTCTTAAGAAATTTGAATTTGTGTTTTGAGGTTGTCTTTATTATCATTAGTTATTTCCCTGTCATAAGGATATTGTAACTGGACAGAATAGGAATGGATTTTGTAAAAATGATTGTTGAATTCATCTCCACCTTTTTTTATTCTAAAGTCAGGTAATAGGTGGTGACATAGCTTGGAACTTCATTAGTCATGGGATGCATGAGTAGATTTTTCTATGTCCTGGCTTTGGAGATGACTGATCCAGTTCTCCTTTTGGCTATAACTTTCAAGCTCTTTTCTCTTTGGGTTATATAAAAACTTTAGCAAGAATTCTCGACTTTCATTAAAGAAATTACTGTTTCCTTCAGAGAACAAGCAGCCATTTTAAAAATAAGCCATAGGGGCATTCATTCAACAAATATTTGAGTGCCTATAATGGACAAGACTCTGGGAGACTCTGAGCAATACTGGTGACACAGACTAACCTCTGCCTCTTAGCACATCATTTCTACAGGTTATTTTTATGAAATGGTCATCTGAAATAGCCCAGAGCTTGCTAAGATCATCTGTGACGTGATGTCACAGATGAGTGAATAGGTTAACTTTATTCAAGAGGACTGTTCAACCTAATACTTAAACTTTTTATTGTGATTAGAGATTTTATAAAATTGTTACTGTTATTCTGTCATTGCACTTATTTTTTACTGTCTACAAAGGATTTGAAAGACATATTGAAACATTTTATTCATGCTTCCAAATAACTATACAATATCATTTTTTAAAAGATTACTGATATACACTTTGAAATTTTTCTGCCCCTGCATTTCTTCTCTGCACTAGCTCTCTTCTGTATAATAATGGGGCATATTAATAAAAATTTCATGAGTTGTATTTATTTTAATTCAATCAGGAAATAATGGCCCATGAGGTCCTTAAAACTGATTTGGTTTAAAAACATGGAAAAAAAATTTCTTAAAAGTGTTTGGTAAGCAGTTTTTATAAATATGAAATAATATAATCATAATGTTATAATGGCTGTTTGTGAATAAATATTTGAACATTATCTTCATGTAAGTTAAACTGTTAAAAATTATACCTTTAGCAGAAGGCAAGATTCCACCTGACGCAACATTGATTTTTGAGATTGAACTTTATGCTGTGACGAAAGGACCACGAAGCATTGAAACATTTAAACAGATAGACACGGACAATGACAGGCAACTCTCTAAAACAGAGGTAATTCAAACAAATTCCGTGTGTACAGTCTAATTTTTTCATCACAATTTAAATACATCTCTGTTACATCTGTTATTTTTTAGTTCTGCTGAGCATGGCTGATTACTTTGCTTTTATAGAGCTGGTTACTAAAAAATCTAAGCTCCAAGAAGAAAATGTGCTTTTTCAATATAAAACTTGTAATGAGTCATCCTGTTCAGTTGCCTTTCTCCCTGCCAGAGAGTCATTAAAATACGAAGCTAGGGGTGCCTGGGTGGCTCAGTCGTTAAACGTCTGCCTTCGGCTCAGGTCATGATCCCAGGGTCCTGGGATAGAGCCCTGCATCGGGCTCCCTGCTCAGCGGGAAGCCTGCTTCTCCCTCTCCCACTCTCCCTGCTTGTGTTCCCTCTCTCGCTGTCTCTCTCTCTCTCTCTCTCTCTCTCTCTCTCTGTCAAATAAATAAATAAATAAATAAATAAAATAAAATACCAAGCTAATCTCTACAGGGCATTTCCACCTTCTAGGCTACAAGAACAGAGCTTTTTCAAGCAGCACCATAGGAATTTATAACACTGCAAATAATTTCTACCTCACAGGGTTGTGGGGATTACATGAGATTAGGAAAAGAGCTAGCAAGAATTTGAATTGTGTGCACTAGAAAGTTGTAAGCAGGAGCCAGTTCACGAACTAGCTTCTGTGTTCCAGTTAGTCTTTTTTTTTTTTTTTTTTTTTTTTTTTTTAAGATTGTTTTTATTTTAGGGACGCCTGGGTGGCTCAGTCATTAAGCGCCTGCCTTCGGCTCAGGTCATGATCCCGGAGTCCTGGGATCGAGCTCCACATAGGGCTCCCTGCTTGGCGGAAAGCCTGCTTCTCCCTTTCCCACTCTCCCTGCTTGTGTTCCCTCTCTCACGGTGTCTCTCTCTGTAAAAATAAATAAATACAATCTTTGATTGTATTCATTTATTTGTCAGAGAGAGCGAGCACAAGCAGGGGGAGCGGCAGGCAGAGGAAGAAGCAGACTCCCCCTGAGCAGAGAGCCCAATGTGGGACTCAATCCCAGGACCCTGGGATCATAACCTGAGCCCAAGGCAGATGCTTAACTGACTGAGCCACCCAGGCGTCCCTCCAGTTTTTCTTATATATGAATTGAGGGATTAATAAAGATGTCAGAACAATAATAGTCATTTTCTTTTGTACTTTCTCAGTACCAAGTACTACTATAAGCACATTAGTATGTGAACTAACTTAATCTTTGTGACAGTTTATGAGATAGACACTCGTCATTATCTCTATGTTATAGAAGGGGGAAATGATGCCCAGACTAAGTAACTGGCGTAAGGTCACACCACTCTAAGAGGCAAAATCAGACTGCAACCCAGCAGTCTGGCTCTGCTACTTTGCTCTTTCTTTCTTTCTTTTTTTTTTTTTTTAAGATTTATTTATTTACTTTAGAGAGAGGAGGGGCAGAGTGAGAGAGGAACTCAAGCAGACTCTGTGCCGAGCAAGGAGCCTGACACAGGGTTCGATCTCACAACCCTGAGACCAGACCTGAGCTAAAACCAAGAGTTGGCTGCTTAACCGACTGCACTACCCAGGCACCCCTGCTACTTTGCTCTTAACCATGGCCTACCCTGCCTCTTTCGGGGGAGTTTCCAGCATAGATGTTTCAGGGCTAATGTTTGTACTGTTGAAGGCTGGTGCCTTACTTAGTCCCACCTACTATACCCTTTTTGCTTACATTGAATAACCCAGTTGTCTCCCCTCTTGTTTGGAGACAGTTTAACATGCATGACTCTACCACCTAAGGAACAGAAGGTACCCGAGTCATTGATTTCAAGAGACAAGTAAGCCCTCTTTCTCTGTTTCTTTTTCCTCTCCCTCTCCAGTCCTTCCCCCACCCTGATTCTCCTTCCTCCTCCAGGATATTAGTAAGGACTTTCCCCTGAAGCTCCTTTGTTGCTCAGCTGTGGAAGAGGGATATGTGAATGAAACGATCCCCTGTTCCTTAAGTAGAAGGACAATCAGAGGGGTGGCAAATCCATGCCAGTACATACTTTGCGTTGACTCCTCGTGAGTTTTAAACAGCAGCAGATGAATTCACACAGCACCCGAGAGCTCAGCCTGTGCACACAGACCATTCGTTACCAAATGAACACAAAGAGGCACATTCTGCAGTATGAAGACTCTTCAGTAGGTCTTGTGGGATCTTTAGTTCTTTCTGGAAAATAAAGGTAGAGAAAGTCCAGAATCCAGAATTGAGTGACCTGCTTAGCAACAGTCTGTCCAGATGTCTCTTAGGTATCAGCTGCATTATCACTAGATGGTAAGCGTGACTTTCACATGCGTGAATGATAATAACTGTCTTTCATTGACATCTATAAACATTACTCTAATCCTCACATCAATACTACCAAAGAGATACTGTTTCCCTCCTTTTACAGACGACAAAATTGAGGTCCAGAGAGGTTAAATTATTTGTCCAAGATCACACAGCAAGTACATGACAAAGCCTAGATTTGAAACATGAACTAAAACTACCTCCCTTCATCATCAGAAAGATTGAGTCACTTATTTCTTTAGTATAAGGTGAGAGAAGAGGAACACAGTATTTTTCTTAAATTATGAAGTGGAAATAATGTGGAACTCATTGCCAGCAAAATTAAGGTTATGTTCTTACCCGCTGCCTTTTTGTACCTCTCTACTACAGTGTACTAGAAAAGTACGTCCTGAGAGTCAGTAATATTGGTTATGAAAATCTGTTTACTTAGAAACTGAGGAATATTTGAGGTTCTTTAAAATTCTTTTCACCTACATAGGATTGCTAAGGCTCAACTGGAAGAAAAAATGTATCTCCCTCAATAGGACTGAAGTCTCACTTGAGAACAGTTGATCTATCCTTCATTAAGATCCACTGATCATTCTAAAATAAAGTCTACTCATGATGGACTGAGTTGGGATACATACTGCTAAAAACTTCTCAGAGTTCAACTTTAGCTTTCAGAAATACTCTTGCCTTAAAATACTCAGCCTTGCTGAACAGTATTTCCAGATTATTGCACATTGCTTTCTTTAGTTATTATATGTATTAGTACTTTCCAATGGAAATAGAATTGAGTCACATATATAATTTAAAAATTTTAGTAGCCACATCTTAAAAAGCAAAAACAGGTGAAATGAATTTTAATACCATTTTGTCTAACTAAATATATCTAAGATATTTCCCTTTCAACATGAAATCACTGTAAAAATTATCAGTTATTTTTTATTGTCTTCAAAATTTGTTGTGTGTTTAACCCTTAGAGTAGCATATCTCTGTTTGACCTAGCCACGTGTCAAGTGCTTAGTAGTTCCATGTGGCTAGTAGAAATGTCATATTACACAGAGAAAGAGTACTTAATACCTGTTCTTTATTTGGTCTTATTATTATAGAGATTGCCATAGTTATGTAGATTTGAAGGAGAATTATAGAAGCATAGAAAAATTAGGAAAATTAAATTTTATTTCAAAACCTATGGTTGAATTTTATTGATAATACAATATATGCATTAATTTTAGAGATTATAAAAATGCCAATTTGGGTTTTATTCACTATTAGAAATCTTTAAGAATGATTTTCCTGATTTTCCTTTCATAATGTGGACAGTATAGATTATTGGAAAACAGTTTCAACAAAATTCAATTCAGATGTTAATCTTTGAGTATGTACCACTAACCATCTATAACCTCAGGCGAAGCTAATTTGAAGATGTTTCTTTTCAGAAAAATTGCTTCAAAGGTTAAAAGAATAAAACCTCAAACAGTTTTTAAAAATTTTATATCACTTGTTATAAGTAGCCTTAGAGTTGAGTTTTCTTATGTAAACATTTCCTTAAAGTTACTGAAAATTTACTGGGGTACTTTTTTGTTAAAGACATTATTTTGGCCCTCTAGATAAATCACTACCTGAAAAGGGAATTTGAAAAAGATGACAAGCCACGTGACAAGTCATATCAGAATGCAGTTTTAGAAGATATTTTTAAGAAGAATGATCATGATGGTGATGGCTTCATTTCTTCCAAGGAATACAATGTATATCAACATGATGAACTATAGTATATTTTTATTTCCAAATTGTCTTAGCTACTTACTGTACTTTATATATAAAACAAAGTCACTTTTCTAGAACTTGTATTTTCTGTTTTCTTCCCATGAGAACATATTTCGATCCCCTCAATATATGTAATTTTGACATAATAAGTGTGCATTATTTTGCAAATTTAACGTTCAGGAACGGTATGATTGTGTTTCCTACTGCTTTATCCTGTGAACACGAATTGCAGCACCTTGAAATAGACCTCCATGTCCCAGTGGTCAGTTCTTCCCCTTCAGGAGATAGGAGGACACCTATGTCAAAATCTACAAGTTCTTCCCAGCTCTAACCTTAACAACATGTATAAATATTTAAATATCCAATTTTTAACGTTTTGATTGTAAAAATGCCCCCATATAATGAAAATATTCATTAGGACCCAGGAATGAACATTTCATTTGTTTATACATTTCATAGCATTACAAATAGAGGGATATAAAAATCAGAGGGCTAAACAAATCTTCCTTTCGTATGCATATAGGAAAATACTAGCTGTATAGCTCTGTCCCACAGAGAGCCTTAACACAGTTTCTGTACTTTTTGGTGCAAGCTCTGGCCTTTGGTCATTATTCCAATGGAGAATGTTTATTTTTGTTTTAAGATTTTATTTATTTATTTGAGAGAGAGGAAGAGAGCACAAGCTGGGGGAGGGGCAGAGGGAGAGGGAGAAGCAGGCTCCCCGCTGAGCAGGGAGCCTGATGCAGGGCTTGATCCTAGGACCCTGGGATCATGACCTGAGCCAAAGGCAGACGCTTAACAACTGAGCCACCCAGGTGCCCCTCCAACGGAGAATGTTTAAAGATAATTGATCAGACCGAAGACTTTGTGCCTCTTACATAGCAGACATGATAAAATCATACTGCTCTGAGTGTGTACTCCTTTAGACATCATTATAGATGGGCTACTTCCTCTTCCTTCTTGTAAGCCTTTAGATCTACCATCCCTAACTTTCTGTCTTGATCATTTTAAATTAATGCCATGGTATTTCTTAGTTTCCAGTTCCCTTTCTCTATGTACCTCTATCCTATGTCACTTCATTTTACGATATTCTTGTTCTTGATCATAAATGAGCATTACAAACTGCTACCCCATCAAATTTTTGAAAATGCGTAGAATTTATTTTACACGTGAGGATATCAAATGAGGATACAAACGGGGATATACACTGCAATGACAGTTTTGTGTCATGGTCAAACGATGACATCCAACTTGTTGAGAATAGGAGGTAAGATGCTGTAGAAGATCACCCTGGTGTCAAAGAAATTGCACGTTATTTATTGGACCACATAAGGTTTTGCCCACTGCATATGTAGAAAGGTATGGTCAGGATTAAATAGCTCTGCTCCAAACAAGTGAGTTCAAACCAAAGCTTTTTCCATTTTCTGAAACTTGCTCTTTCCAAACCATTGTTCAGTGTTCATCTTTTAACCTCTTTAGATACACTGCCAGAAATCCTATTATCTAAAAGTTCAGGGTTAATGCAAAAAACACCAGATTAATGGATATCACATATGCATAGCACAGAGTTTGACACTTCATAAAACCAAAACCCTTGCTACCTTTCCTTTCCTCCCAAGACTGCTTCATGCCTGTACCTAATTTTGTAACTCCTCACTTGCTCAATTGCCAATTCTCGTTCCTTGACTTCCCTCAGGAAAACCTGCTCTGTTGAAATGAACGAAGTTGGTGACTCAATATTATGTTTTGGTTTGGAAACTGCCCCCGTTTTCTATATAAAAAAAAAAGTCACTAGAGCATTTTGCAATCAGTATACTCATATTTGCATTTGACTCATATATTCTGCTCAAAACACAAATACAGTGGAAGAAGATATACATGGAAATCATTCCATAATACATCCTGTTCATAATTCTATCCTTTCTGTCCCATTGTTTTCCAAGTGCTTTTAAACTTACGTTTTTAAAAATCATAGATGATGTAAAATGGAGATTGATTCTAAAACTAACCACATTTAAATAAGTAAAATTTTAATCATTCTACATAACTAATCAGGTATTTTGTAGTTACACGATTGCTTTATGCTTTCATAGGCATACACCCAGTAGGAAGTGCTGTCACTACATTTTGAGTTCTAGAATTTTCATTACTTTTGCAATTATTTTAATAAGGGCATATAATAAATTAATAATTTAGGTTGTTTGTGTATGCAAAATTTCAGATGTCTTATAGAGTAGATGAAAAAGATCTCTCAGAACTGAATATGTTAAATATTTTAAACATTTTCAAAGGGGAAAGAATAAAGGTGTCCTAGCTGCCTTAACTTTAAAATGACAGTAATGAGTTTTTATAAAGACAAAACGAGTGAGCGTGTGTACATCACACAATGGCATATACTGCGATCAGTCACCCTGTGAACTGTGTCCATAAAACCCCACACTGAGCTCAGTGTGCTTTTCATCTGATACCACAATTAAACATTTAGGATTATATTAAATTATTAACACATTTTTCTCATTTTACCGGACCTAGGGCAATGGTTAAAGCACCATAAAGTCACCACTTTGAATCTCTTTCTTAAATATTAAAATTCAATTAAAGATAAAATTGATATTTAGCAAAATCACTATGTAAAGTTATCTAAAATGACAGCTGAATCCCAAATATAATTCTAAAGTAACTGGAAGATTTCATGAAGGAACATCTATATCTTGAATTTTGCATTTAAATCTTTTTTCACATAAGTAATATTAATCTTTATGATAATTTATAGGGCAGACACTATTATCATCTCCACGTACATAAATGAAGAAAACGATGCCCAGACAGGTTAATTTCTCTTTCTTCTCCCTCTTTAATTTGCCATAATTTATCAAAGCATACCGAGATGATTTTGGAACGGTGTGTGGCACAGTTGCACCCAAAACACTACATTCACTTTCCATTTATTTCATCCTCTTGTGCCAAACATCAAAACAAGGAACTGCATGAAGCCTCACATACTTATGGCCATCGACAGAGCACTGAAAGCACCCATAAACCGTCTCCCTTTTAAAGTTCCCCATTCCACAGAGTATGCAAGGTCCTTTTGGAATGTTGTGATTAAGCAGGTTAACTCGGATATGAGTCCCTTCTTTGAGAGAAATATCAGTCATGCTGAGATGTTTGTCAGAGTAGTCAGAAAAAAGATCATCTAAGTAAAGCTGTGAACGAGAAATGGTATCCATCACTCTTCTATCTGAAAGCACAAAAACCGAGAAATGCGTTAGAAGTCACATAAGAAATATATAACCAACCCGCCTTTATACGTACGTGAATCTAAACCATCAGTCATGACATGATTTGGCCTTTAGATTTAAATTCCTCCTTAACAGACAAGGAGTACTGACTGGATAAACTCGAGTATTAATCCAAGAAGAAAAGAAACATTTGAAATACTCTTCAACAGACATACTTCTCTCAAATAGAATATTCCTCAGTCTGTAGAGCAGCCCGAATGTTGGGGTTTCTTCCCTCTCAAATCCTCCTTTTGACACTGAAGTGACACAAAGGTCTATAAAAAAAAAAGTTAGAAGATGTTATAACTTGAACAACTCATTTTATTGGGAGTTTTAGTTGTGGCTGATGAATCCTGGTACATGCCATTCATTGTATTTTTTAAGTTAAATTTTATGTTTTTGGAAAAGCTAATATTCACATGGTACGAAATCCAGACTACAAAAGGGGGATACAGTAACAAGTCTCCAGTCTACCCTGGACCCCAGCCTCAGTTTTCCACCCTAGAAGTGACCACTGTTAAGTTTCTTGAGTATACTTCCAGAAATACTTCATATATTTTACAAGTATAAAAGAATATATATGTATGTATGTATGTATGTATGTATGTATACACATAAAATTATTTAGGCTCAAATAGTTATATACTATGCATATTTCTTTAAAATATCCCCTAGACATTATTCCATGTCAGGGTCCATATCTCATTCTTCTTAAGGCTTCACAGTATTCCATAGTTAAGGATGCACCACTATTGAACTAGTTACTGATAATAGATCTTAAGGTTACTTCCAGTCTTTCATTATTACAAGCTGAATATCCTTATACCCGTATCACTTCCCATATATGTAAGTATATCTGTAGGATAAATTCCCAAAAACGTATGCACATTTTAAATTTTGATGGCTATATCAGTTCTATCAGTTCATACTCCTCCTAACAATCAATAAATTGTAAAAACCTACATCTGAAGTGTCCCAAATAGACTGTAATTAGCATGTTTCGTCATGTTTCTGGATTCCCTATTCTCTCCTCCCATAGAACCACAGAAACAAAAACAGGTCTAAAAATGTTTATAAATTACCAGGGCTAGGGGGCTCCCTTGCCTAGTCCTTTGAGGTAGCTGGCCTCCTAATCTTAAAGACCTGTGAAATGTCGAAGTCTAAAGTGAGCTATTATGTAAGGTATTATATAAGGAATACAAGGTATTCTGTAAGGTATATAAAGACAATTTTAGGGTAAGCGCTTATACTGTCAAAGTTATTTTTTAGGGAGAGTTGAGGGGGAAGCTGGGTCTATGAGAGGTAAAACTGAAAAGAATCTGTCTTTGGGTATCTTAGCTTAGATGCCCTGATATCGACAGGCATCTAAACTATCTCCCCACTCCTCTATTTGCCATCATCAAAAACGACCTATTAGAAGATCATCTATTATCTCCCCATGTAAGTCAAAGAATACTTTGTCAGTGGATTGCACTTGAGCTCTTATCTATAATCCTAAGTGGCATGGTGGGGAGTTTGCAGCTCTCACCAAGAAGCAGAAAAGAGGTAGTGAGTAAGTAGTACCAGAGGGTCTTTCCCAGCTACTTTACCCAGGCATAAGATTGACAGTGCTGGGAATATCATTCTTCCACAATTACACAGAGAGAGTATGTATGTGTTTGTTTCTCATTAAATACTTCTTAAAAGTATAATCATTGCAGTGTTTCATGCAAATTATTCACTTACCAAAGGCACCATCCAAGTAAATGAAGAGTTCAAAAACACTGAAAGCTATGGTTGTGTGTGCTGGAAAAACAATAGCTTTGTCCCTTCCCTTGGGATTCTGTTCATCCATAAAATGAAACTATAGTGAATAAGTAAATAACATTATTAAGGAGGATAACACGTAAGGATAGCTTTTTAGAGAAACAAAACATCTCAAACAATCTTACTATTAAGACAAAAACAAATTATCCCATTGAATTTAACCAAGTCCCAATGGTCCAATGGGGTCTCACCATCTAGGGAATACCACTCACCACCTTCTCACTAACATCAGTACTAGGGCCAATGATTAGTGCAACAGCAACAGTAATGCTGACATAGACACCTTTTCTTTCAACCACAAACCAACTGTTTAAGTGCTACAGTTGTTTTTAGGCTACTCTGTCAATTGTTCTAAAGCCCCCAGAGTTTTCAGCAGCTTTCCAAAGCAATCATCAACTTCTTTACCAAAAAAATCTCCAACAATTAAATAAATGTTTCAGTTTGTGCCCCAAACAACTCAGTGGAAGCTAAATGTAGCCACTGAACAGAACTTTTACTTGCAAAGATTCCAAAAGTTTTTCCTTGAACTCTATCTTTATAACAACTAATTTTAATAAGACCAATCGAGTCATTGTTATGTGTCATTACTATATGAATGACAAAGACAAATAATGCTAAGCTGAGAACTAAACACAAATAACTTCCAGTTTTTTTTAAGGTATTTAACATTGAATGAAGCATGTTTGTTTAATTTTAGAAAAATTGAAATAATATAAAATCAACTTTTAAAAATTCAAGTATAAAGTACATCACTTAAAAATAAAATCAAGAATTCAACATAAGCATTCAACTTTTATTTTTTTTTAAAGATTTTATTTATTTGACAGAGAGAGAGAGAGAGACCCCGGGAGAGGGAACACAAGCAGAGGGAGTGGGAGAGGGAGAAGCGGGCCTCCCTCAGGGCAGGGAGCCCCATGCAGAGCTCCATCCCAGGACCCTGGGATCACAACCAGAGCCTAAGGCAGACGCTTAATGACTAAGACACCCAGGCGCCCCTCAACTTTTATTCTTAAAACATCATTTAAATAGTCATAGGAGGGACTCCAGTATGCATTATTTCATAAGGATTAATGTTTTGTTTGTATTATAATACACATTTAGAATCGAAGTTTTCTCGGATTTTTTTAAAAATTCTAAAACAAAACTATTACTGTGCAAAATCCTATATATACTTGTAGCTCTTTAGTCTCAACATTTGACAAAATATACACATCTCTTTAGAAATTGAGTACTTTTTAAAAAAATTCCCATTGCACGTTTTTAGCAAGAGAAACCTAATGAGGGGCACCTAGGTGGCTCAGTTGAGCGACTGCCTTCAGCTCAGGTCATGAGCCCAGGGTCCTGGGATCAAGCCCCACATCAGTCTCTCCGCTCAGCGGGAAGCCTGCTTCTCCCTCTCCCACTCCCCCTCTTGTGTTCCCTCTCTGGCTGTGTCTCTCTCTGTCAAATAAATAAAATCTTGGAAAAAAAAAAAGAGAGAGAGAAACCTAATGAGTGTGGTTTACCCGCATGGCTTCCCTGCGAATTCCAGCATGCACAGACAGCGAGCACTGTCGTGTGGTTCGAATGCTTTCCATGACCACACACAATACTGCCTTTCTGCTGCTCCTTGTCTGACGTATCAAGCTGTGGTCAAAATTAATTTTTCTAGAATAAAGAATAGAGATATTCATAAGAATCTGTCACATCTAATTACATATAATCAAGTACATTTTTTGCTGTCATGTGTTACTCATTCATGGTCCACCTTAACTAAAAGTAAATCAAGGCAGGTCTAATACAAATCAGAAAATATGCTCAATAGCTACTAGTAATCTGCCTCTCCTTTCACTTTTCTTAAAACATGCTTATTATAGGAGCCTGTCGGAAGAGATTCCATTAGTGTATTTGTTGCAAGCAGATTAGTGTATTCCTTTTTTTTTTAAGGACTTATTTATTTTTATTAGCGAGAGAGCGAGACTGCAAGCAGAGGGAGGGGGAGAGGGAGAGAGAGAATCCTCAAGCAGACTCCCTACTGAGCACAGAGCCAGACACAGGGCTCAATTCCAGGACCCTGAGATCATGACCTGAGCTGAAATCAAGAGTCGGCTGCTTAACCAACTGAGCCACCCAGGCACCCCAGTGTATTCTTTTAATCTAATAATTTAGCAAATGAGTACAGGACCAAAGCAATTTTGTGGAAAAATTAAAAATTCTGTTTACACCAAGTGATTCTGGATATCTACCCATATCTAAAGTCTGGATGTATTGCTAATTTGTAGTTTTTCCAACAAATAAAACAAGTAAATTATCCTGAATGCTTTCAGCATTCTTTATAACGAAGTTTATACAATTAAAATATTTAATGAAAACACTGAAGCATATTAAGTATTATTCTACTGACCGTGTCGTAATTTCCTTGAGTAACGTTGATACTTCCACTTCATGTTTGGTCACCACACCAAATGAAGCTTTAACTGCAACAGAATCAGATCCAGTGATGTTAATCCCAACGTCATTCACAATATGATTGCCTCGTCTTCCATAGAGGGAAACATCTGATTCATCTTCATAATTCAGTAACTGATAAGATGAAATACCTTTATGGAAAGGAAATCAATATTTTTAAATGTCTTGATTTCACCTAACATAGATTATATATAGTAATGCATTAATTAATATTTAAGACTCCATTACATAAATGTTGAGAAAGGTGACATCTCAAGCCAAGATTTAAAATAGCAACTCATTTAAATTAAAAAACAATAAATACATTTACATAAATTATGACTTTATTGTTAAAACATGTAAACACTATTTTTGAAGATTTTATTTATTTATTAGACAGAGAGAGAGAGAGTGCGTGCACAAGCAGGGGGAACGGCAGAGGGAGAAGGTGAAGCAGGCTCCCCGTTGAGCAGGAAGCCTGACATGGGGCTCGATCCAGGGATCCTGGGATCATGACCTGAGCCGAAGGCAACGCTTAACCGACTAAGCCACCCAGGTGCCCCAAAACATGTTAACATCTTAAAACCTGTAAAATATCACTCCTGCTAGAAAATGAACTCTTTTTTTTAAAAAATTAATTTTTTTATTTGAGTGTAGTTAACACACAATGTTACATGAGTTTCAGGTATACAGCATAGTGATTCAACAAATTTATGCATTATGCCATACTTACCACAAATGTAGCTACCATCTGTCGCCATATAATGCTATTAAAATATTATTAATGAAAAAAAAATTTTTAATTTAAAAAAATAAAATAGCAACTCAATTAATTTAACAACAACCAAAAGATAGAGTACTTAAAAGAGAACTCAAGTTCTTTGTTCCACCAAAAGAACTCTGTAAGCTGTAAGATCCACTGAGTGGTTGAAAGAAAAACAGTGTTTACAACAATAATTTGTCAAAATGTCAACTCATTTTCTAATCTAGCCTATAAAATACATTTCAGTTTACCAACTACAATAACTGAGTCATAAGAAATAAATGTAAATTACTTTCATCTCATTTGACCCTGTAAAGATAGGCAAGACTAATACCCCACTTTATAGATGAAGAAATATATTATTTTGTCATATTCTAAGTTGATTCAGTTAAAACAGTCTATAAAATATTTGAAATAAAATTATACAATAAATTTCACAAAATAGGTTGGAAAATTATTCAACCAATAAGAGATTTGATCTACATAAATTTAGATATTATTAATCTTAATATTAATACTACTCTCATAAGAAAAGTTGCATTTATCAACGTGCAAATATTACAAATATTAGTATATACAACCGATGTTTAGATTGTCAATAATATAGCTAAATGAGTAGTCACTCCCAGATATTTAAACTTACCAGCTGAAATTTCTCTGTCTCCTAGAAGAATATCTTTCAGTATAAAAGGTGTTGAGGTAAATTTATATCTAGGAAAGAGAAAGCATCGCTTCTTTTTTACCACCAGACTTAGAGGTTGGTATTTGTCAGCCTCACTGAGGCTTGGAACAGGGACTAATCTCCCTCCATCTCCAACTTGCTTGACAAAGCTCTTGGTAGCAGCAGCAAACATATTAATATGGTATCAAGACGTCATCAACTGCAACCCTCAGATAACAATCCATACTTTCAAAGAAAACCAGGCACATCAAGACTTACTTGATTTTAAATATAATTGAACCCATTAAAAATACAAAGCATGGTTTCACCAAGTAGCTTACCAGTGTACAATTCACAACACTGCCTCTCCTGGTGTGCTCAGGTAATGAATTATAGATCAACGGTGTTAAATGATACACTGAGAGCAAGTCAACTTGGAATTGCAGTCTATAAGCACTAAAACATATGCAGAAAGCTACTGAGTTTAAAATACTACCAATGTCCTTGATGAGGGTTACTGTTAATAGTAGGTTGTCAGTTTTGAGGAAACCTATAGTTCTAAGGGAACAGTGAAGTTTAAGCACTAACATTAGCCCTGGCTACCATCTACAGTGGACTTAGTCCAAAGGGAATTCCTTCAGAACTTCCCCTTGCCAATTGTGGCAACAGTAAAGTGCTATTTTGAATCCTTAGAGTATACAGGTCATTCATTCTCCTTATATGCTACAAAACCAAGTGATTAATATAAAATATAAATTCACAGAATATAGAGAAGCAGTTGTACGCAGATTTTTATGAAATAAATGAAAGCCATATTACATATATAAATGCAGAAATAACTATATAATACATATATATCTATAAACTATGATTTAGGGGTTTCTTACTCTGTAGCTGGCACATAGACAACTCTTTGAAATAGTGCTGCATTTATTTTGTTTCATCATTATTACCTCAGTTGCTCAACCTTTAAAGAGAGCTATATCACGTTTGGGCTTGTTTTTCAGATATCGGGGCAAAAAATAAATTTTAGAAACAAATCTGAGGGCTGAAATATTGTATTGCCATAGTTATGTGGATGTTAATATATTTTGAAAAAGTGGCTATGTGAATTTACAGTAAGATACTCATTAAAATATAATAGTAGGTAGTAATCGCGATACATACATATACAGTGGGGATGGTGGGAGGAAGACAGAATAGGCTAATTGAAGCCTCAAATAATATAAATCAATTTGATTAGATTCAGGATTCAGCTGTTTTCACTTGCTTGCCAGTATCCAAGGCTCTCGTGTAATCAAGAAAACCCCAAAAACCAAAAAGTTGTTTTTTTTTTTTTAAGGTTTTATCTATTTGACAGAGACACAGCGAGAGAGGGAACACATGCATGGGTAGTGGGAGAGGGAGAAGCAGGCTTCCTGCTGAGCAGGGAGCCCGATGCGGGCTCAATCCCAGCACCTTGAGATCATGACCTGAGCGGAAGGCGGACGCTTAACGACTGAGCCACCCAGTTGACCCCCAAAAAAGTTTTTAATAACGTCCCTTTGTGTGAACAGCATTGTGCAATCTTCCACAACACAGAGAAAGCACAGGGAGTCATTTCTGTAAGTGGCTAACAAACCCCTAGGCGACATATCTACCGTCGCTGTCTGATCCCCACCTAAGGTTGGTGCACCCCAGGCAAACACAATTACGACTAAGAAGACAGGTGTACAGAAACAGCATTTAATTGGAGCCCACAGAAAGCCCTCGTTACACCTAACAGGCCCTGCTCGGATCCGCCGGCCCAGCCTTCATCTCGGGACCAAAGCCTAGAGACAATGGAAACCACCCGGCAGCGGGGGGGGGGGGCGGCGGGGGGAAACGGCCGGGGGGGGGCGGACATCCCTGGGAGCTCCTCAAAGCAGGGCGCAAACCGGGAGAGCCCACTGCAGCCCCCCAAGGCAGATATACAGCGAGTCCCAAGCTTCGGGGCCAGGTCCAGGGATGTTCCGATTTTGCATTTAGAATCCTGAAATCTTTTTCTTAAAGTGACGCAGCCCCGAACCCTAACCTCCCTCAGCCCCACCACCGAAAAAGAAGCTGAGCCTCAGCCTCACACACTGTGAGGTTTGCCTCCCAACAATCCGCCTCTCCGGGCCGGAAACCGCCTCCTTTTAAGGACGCAGAACTTGCGGCCACGCCAAGGCCGTGGCGGGGGGTAAGCGCCGGGAATCCGCGGGGCTAAGGCTGGGAACTGGCGGGAGCCAAGAAGAGCCGAGACTAGGAAAGAAGGGGCGGGGCCGGGCGCCCAGGAGCCCGGCGAGCCGGTAGGTGGGGCCCGGCTTGGAGTATGGCCTGCCGCCCGGGCAGCGAGGGGGCGTGGCCGGCACTGCTGCACCGAGACTCCGCCTCCGCCCGTCCCCTTCGCAAGAGGGACGCAAGCTGGGAGGAAAGGGGGAGTCGAGGAGGCGGCGGCGGCGCTGGAGGGCTCCTCTCGGGGACCGGCCGACCCGGGGAGCGAGGATATCGCTCCGCACCACTCTTCCGCCTGCCGCCAAGCCGTCCCTTCTCGCTATGTCCCAGAGCAGGCATCGCGCCGCGGCCCCGCCGCTGGAGCGCGAGGACAGCGGGACCTTCAGGTCAGCGCCCGAATAGTCGGGGCCGAGCCCGGCAGGGCCGGGAGCGGTGGGCACGAGAGGCGGGGCGGAGGAGCCCGCTTTCCAGCGGCATTCTGGGTAAAGCCCCTTCCCGTTGCTCTCGCCCCCGCGGCTGCAGGCGGACCCGGGGGCACTCGGCTCCGCCCTCTCGGCCGTGCGCGGGCTGGGGTCTGCGGCCTGGCCCCGCCCCTCTTGCGGCCTCGGGCTGCGCGCGGGGTGGGCGGAGGTGGCGCGCCGCCGCTACCCGTGAGAGGGGTTATGTGGGCTTGGTCCTGGGAGACCGCAGGGAATACCTCCTACCCGCTTTCAAGTTATCTCCCGAAAGCCCTCTTTCACCCTGCCGGTTGCCCGCTGCAGCAGGGCCGGGAGACTGGGGCGCTTCGCCATCTCTGGCGCTGGCCGCAGGGGAGGTTCGGCGCCTCCTGCATCAGTGTTGGTGGCAGTCAAAACTAGCCTCTGTATGCTTCTGCTTCCCTCCCCGCTTTGGCATGCAAAGCACACCTTTTTCTGGTTTTTGCAGTTTGGGGAAGATGATTACAGCTAAGCCAGGGAAAACACCAATTCAGGTATTACACGAATACGGCATGAAGACCAAGAACATCCCGGTTTATGAATGTGAAAGATCGGATGTGCAAATACACGTACCCACTTTCACCTTCAGAGTAACCGTTGGTGACATAACCTGCACAGGTCTGTATGCACAGTTAACCCCATGATCGTGTGGGTTGGCCAGCAAACCTTGGTATTGTTTTTCAGTTCGGAAAAGTGACCTTTTTACCAGGGACAGCTGTAAGGAGCAGACTCTTGAAACTGAGACCTCTCATCTCAGGTCATGGGGACTTTCCAACTTCATCTGATTCTCTCCCTAATTTTCTCTTCTTCAGATACCAAGAGAAGCTCAGAAACATACCCTAGGATCTTCCTAGGGTTCTTTCAAGAATTAGGGAGAAGCAGGAAAGGTTCTTGGAGCGACCATAGCTGGATCAGTAGGTGCTGACAAGTTTTATAGTGTCATAGAGTATAGAAGATGCCAGGAGCCATGAGTCCAGAATTTTCTGAGCCTCTCCCCTCTTTGTATGGACTCCCCTGGCACTTTGGGCCCATTGTACCACCCTTGATTCTGTATCCAAGCAAAATGAGGAAGACGGTGCAAATACCATATTTCATAGCACCGTCTAGTTCCTGACACTGTACGGGTTTTAGTAAGATGTCATGTCCTTTTTTTTTTTTTTAAGATTTTATTTATTTATTTGACAGAGAGACATAGTGAGAGAGGAAATACAAGCAGGGGGAGTGGGAGAGGGAGAGAAGCAGGCTTCCCGCTGAGCAGGGAGCCCGATGTCGGGCTCGATCCCAGGATCCTGGGATCAGGACCCGAGCTGAAGGCAGATGCTTAACGACTGAGCCACCCAGGTGCCCCTGTCATCTCCTTTTTTATATGTGAGGAAAGAGGTTCAGAGAAATTACCAGTTGACATGCCCAAAGTCACATAGCGATGAAGTTTCAGAGTTCAGACTCCCCTTATGGGCTGTGAGCTTGAACAAATGATAACTAAAGTTGCCATTTGTAAATGTAGGCATTTTGTTTCTTATGTATCTATTTAATTGCAAACAAAAAATAATACTAAATTTAAATCGGAAGAACGCCAAGAAAACAATTCAACAGGAAGGTTGGAGTTGCACCATCTGGTAATCTAAAGGCATCGATCGTTTGTTTAGGCCCCTGAAAATCTGGAGCCCGCTATTTTCTTTGAAATGACTTTAAGAAAATGTTGAGGCTTTTTTATCTAGATGAGGCAGTTGGATTGTAGGTGCTAGCTGGAAGTCTCCTCATGATGAACCACGGGATCTTTGCATTACTCCTTTAACAGGTCTGTTTTTAAATTTTCAGTGAAAACTTAAGAAAAGAAATAGTCCTTTTCCCTTCGATATGTGTTGGGCCAGGGATTAACAACCTATGGCCACTAACCGTTCTGCTTGGGCCCCTGCTCTCCTCACACTGCCCCGTCTTCCTATGCAAGTTTATGTGCCTCCACAGCTTCAGGGGCTACCTAAAGGCCGAATATCCTGAAATCTCTGTCTTCATTCAGCCCAGGTCCGGTTATGGAACTGTCTGTCAACCTGTGCTTGCTGGGCATCTTCACTTGGATGACCCAAAGGCACCTCAGTCTCTTGTCCCAGACTGACTCCATCTCTCTTCCCTCAAGTCTGTCTCCCCTGCATTCCCTAGCTCACTAAAGGCACCACCATCACCTATTGGATCACACTAGAAAGTTGGGTTTCATTTTCCTGACTCCTCCTTCTCCCTCTGCCTCTTGCCCACTCTTCCACCAAGTCTTACTTCTTAAGCAGCTCTGGCATCTGCCTGCTTCCCTTGTCTCCCCGCTGCTGCTGTCTGGGCCACCGATGTCTTGCACTTGGACCGCGGCGGTCGTCTCGCTGCTGCTCTCTCAGCCTCCAGTCTCGGGCTGTCCATTCCCCGGATGACCCTGGCATTCAGATCTGTTCGTGTGCTTCTTGCTCTTCAAATCCGTTCGGTGGTTTGCCCATCACCCTCTGGTTAAATACAGATTTCTTGATAGGACTTAACGGCCGTGCTTCTCGAAACGTGATCAGCAGCATTACTATCACCTGAGCACTTGCTGTAAACGCTCTGGAATATCAGGCCCCATGCCAGACCTGCGGGACCAGAGTATGCATTTTAACAAAATTCCCAGGCAATTCCTGTGCACATTAAAGTTTGAGAAGCACAAATTTAGAAGACTGTTCTTGGACCTCTCTCCCTACCCTCGCAATCGTGTAGCCTTTTATCGTTTCCTTAAGCTCCCACCTCCCCAGCCGCTCGGGGCTCTTGAGAGCAGCATGCTGGTGTTGCCTCTGAGCCCCGGCAAGGGCTCTTTTCTTCGCCTAGAATGCTCTTCTCAACCCCCAGCTCTCGTCACCTTACTAGCTTTTACTAGTCTTTTCTGTCTTCATTCAGTTATCTCTTCCTTCTTGAAACCTTTCTGAATTATTACCAAGAGGAGGGGAGCTGTCCCTCCAGCCTGCACTTAGGCTAGTTCTAACACATACGACTATATTTCAGATGCCTCTTTACAGACAAAATCCTGCACTAGGCTGTGCGCTCTTTAAGGGTGGGGATTCTGTTTCATACTCCCCAGTGTCCCTAAGTCCCTAGGTTAGTGGATAAAGGTGTATGGTTTGTATGTCCTGACATTTGAGGGTTACAGTTGAAATTTATTCCATTATTCTGTTCCTTTCCTCCCACACCAGAGAAATGGATATCAGCACTCTGGTACCACTTTTGAAAGGTTCTCAGCACCTAGCTTGAACTCAGAAAGCAAAAGATTGAATTTACCATTTAACAGGTGTGATGGCTTACTGAAATTAGGCTGCAGTTTCAGTGATGAGTCAGACCTGTCCCCTGCCACCCTGTTAGCTACTTCGGTAAGGGATATAGATTGTATGGAAGACACGGAACATCATCTCTCACACTCCCTATATAAACCTTCTCCCACTGCACCCAACATGTAGCCAGGACTGCTTAGCCAAACAGAGGGGATTAATGCAGTATAGGATGGACTATTGGAATAAAATTGTGCCCATTTTGCTGTCAAACAGTGTTGATATAAGCGGCTCCCTTAGAGGAGACTTCTTGCTACAGCATTTCCTTTATCTCTAGGAATAAGGAAGAGTAAAATACTAAGTTGCATTTTTTTTTTCAGAAAGTATGACATGGTCTACTTTATTACCATTTTATGTAATAAATATACACAAGGATTTTTTAATATAGGTGTACGTAGAATTAGATATGTAAAATTTAAAATTATGGGTTTTTAATGTATGTATTTCATGGGAATATTTTGTTACAGTATGTAGTATATATTTTTATTAACTATGTGTGTGTGTAAATATATATATATAAACTGTAGTGACTTTGTGTTGTATTATGCAAATGTCTATGCAACCCTCACATTTTCATTTCTTTCTTAACTTTAATTCAGGTGAAGGTACAAGTAAGAAGCTGGCGAAACATAGAGCTGCAGAGGCTGCCATAAACATTTTGAAAGCCAATGCAAGTATTTGGTGAGCTAAATTTCTTTGTATTCTGCAGCTCAAAAATATCATGGCTGAGGTAAGATTGAAAGTTTGAACACGCTCACAAAAGCAACAAAGTGAACAGTTGTTAGTACCTGGCTCTAAAATTTTATTTCCTTATGAAAACCTGTCATCCCTTAAAGACAACTTTATCCTTAAGAAATTCAATCCAGCAATTAACTGTTAAATGAAAGCTCTCAGGAACTAGGATTTTTTTCCCCCTCAGTGGGATGCAACAGTAGAAGACCCCAGTTTTTCTGGCAAATATCTTCCTGTGTTAAGAGTGTAATAATTTCTACACTACATAAAATAAGTTATGAAGTGGAAAAAGATCAGTGGAAAATACTCTTTGGAAGATTCTAATTTGGAAGGAGACGAAGAGATTTCCTTTTATTATACAATGTATACCAAAATACAAGATGTTAAGTGGGATGTTAAGTCTTGATGGGATTTTTTCAAAATAAGTTGGTTGTCACTTTAGGTGCTTTTGGAGAGTATTGGTCCTGGAGCATCTCATGTATTCTAGAGTGATGTCCTTTGGTTTCTAATGGACACACTGGAGCATGCTGAGCCTTTAAGTTCTTCTCCTTCCTGCACTCAGTTATTCCTAAAGTACAGTCTGGTGTACCTGCTCAGAGTTGACAGCAGAGGCCCGGGGGAATTTAGGAGAGGTTTTTCTCCAGCTTCAAAACTTTTGGTCTAGCACGTACTTAGGTTCTCATGCAGTGCTCCTCCCCTTTCTAAGCCCTTCCAAACCATTCGAGTAGTTTAGAATGAAGCATTGACAAGCTTTGACTCTCACAAAATGGTGCTTGATTCCCTGGGATCCTATGTTATAGCTGATTTATGCTGGCTTTGTAGACATGCCAGAAGACATGGCAGGTATTGGATTCTCCCCTCGCCGGTGGTGACCAGGCTATTTCTGTGCAGCCCAAAGGTCAACCCAAAGTGTGGAGTGTATTTGTAGAAATGAACATACAGAGTGTCCTTTCTGCACATGGGCACTTCACTTTGTCAGCAAAAAAGGCTAACAGACTTTACTATATATTTGTGCTTCTTGACAGATAAGATGGGAATTACTAAGCTGTAATCAGGTCTAAAGTGGCCTCATTTAATACAGAGACTTTCTCACTTCTCCATCACAATTATTTGGGTAGCTTCGGCGTGCATCATTGTAAGTGAATATTCCTATCTCATCAGCCTCCATAAAGCTTGACATTCTGGCAGGTGGAAAAGCAACCTGAAGAAGTGGCAATAACTGAACCTCTTTGGTCATGGAAGAAATGAATCTTCAGTCGCCTAGGTGGTAGTAACCTTGAACGTAGCTTTACTCAGTGCTAGACACTCATCGCCTAACTAACTAGTAATTTCAAACTAGTTAGGAGACATTATTCTCTTTTTCCCTAATCATAGTCACCATATTGCCAGAACCAGATTCATGCAGGCCATACATATAAATCTTAGGAGGATTATTCTAGCTTAGAACAGATGATAGATCAGACAGATTTGTCTTCCATAGTTATTTGAGTGAAAAAACAACTTTATAATCTGTATCATTCCCATTACCAGGCTAAATTTCCCAATTATTAGGCTTCCCTTTTTGTGTCATTGTAATAGTAGTATGCTTTATTTAAATACATTTTTATTGAGCACCTATTATATGCACAGTCCTGTAAGGCTTACGGAGGTAAGTAATACATAGGCTCTGTCATCAAGGATTTTACATCTGAACGCAGGAGTGGTGTGGTGAGGGATGGACAAATTACATGTATTTGCAAGAGTATATAACTTATGGTAAAATAATTTGCGTAAGAAAGGGTCAACCTAAACGGTAATAATGGTTCAAAGGAGGGAGAAATTATGTTACATTAGCGTAATAGGATAGGTTTCTTAGAGAAAGTGGCATATGAGCTAGACCGTGGACAGGGGATAGGTCACATTCTCATAGAGGAGGTGGGGTAGAAGGCTATTCTGTGGAGAACAGCAGAGGCATAGAGGATTAAATAAGAAATGCTTGTCATTTATTTAATAGTGTGGGGGAAATTATTTTGTTTTATAACATTTTAAAAAAATGTTTAGCTTTGCAGTTCCTGACCCCTTAATGCCTGACCCTTCTAAGCAACCAAAGAACCAGCTTAACCCTATTGGTTCATTACAGGTAAGTCACACGGTTTTTCCTTACATAACATTATGTCTATTGAAGAAAGATGTCATAAATTGATAATATGACAAGGGCTGAAACAAGGAATAAATATTTTAAAGATAAGTTGGTATAATATTTTATTTTCCCAGTTATGATCATTAGCTATTACAGCACTAACTTGAAATTATTTTCCTATTTATTTACGTTTTGGATTTTCTTCCATATACAGTATCTGCCTTTGGTTTGTGGAATTCTCATTTGAGATCAACAGGACCCCAGTGCACATGGGTAGAGTGTTTTATACTTTAAGAATATTTCTTGCCACTCTTGTGACAACCTCTTTCTACTTCTGTTGACACAGAAGATTTTATAAAGAACCCAAATCGGGTAACCTACCTCAAGAAAGGGGAAATAGTCTATTTGCTTATTCTACCAAAAAAAAAAAAAATCAGCTTTGAATTTCTGCAGGCAGAATATCCTTCTTGCGGATTATCCATGTGCTCTGTTGGACAGCTACCCTCCCCATTCTCCAGCCCGTCCTTTGGTCCCTTTCTTGCTGTCTTTTTCTTGAGTTTTCTTCCCCTGATCTTTCCTCAGCTTTGTCCAAGTCTGTTAGCTGCCTTCGCTCATCTGCTCTTGTTGCAGTGCAGTAGTTAGCCAGCTGTGGGCAGGAAGTCTGCAACTAAGGCAGAGGCTTTAGGAACTGATGACCCTGAGACCTATAGATGTTCCCCAAGAGGGCCATAGTAGCTCCTCTTTCTCTTTGAGCTCTTTGATATTTGCTCACTATGGCTTAATGGAAGAACACCATTCCTATCCTAGCAGTAAACTGCTTCAGTTTTGGTATTGTGGGCTTGCAAGATATAAAATGCAGGAATATTTATGGGGAATATAAGGCCTTCCCCCATTTTTCCATTGCAGAAGATCATTATTCTTTTCAAAAACATAAATGGAAATGGGATCAAAATCATGAAAGGGTGTCATTTATGTGATTAAGCCATTGCATAGTAGAAATTACTACTAAAGCCTCATCTCGATTTTCTAGGAGTTGGCTATTCATCATGGCTGGAGACTTCCTGAGTATACCCTTTCCCAAGAGGGAGGACCTGCGCATAAGAGAGAATATACCACAATTTGTAGGCTAGAGTCATTTATGGAAACTGGTAGTTATTTCCTTTTAATCTCATACAACTGAAGACATTTTAAATATTTTCAGATGATGAATGACCATAGAAAGTTCTGTTGTGATTTCCTTTCAAATATTTCTGGGGAGAAAAACTGATACATTCCTATTCTACTGTCTCTTTCTGCAGTTGAATTTAAGTGTAAATATTTGGCTTAAGAATACTTATGCTTCTTAATTTGATATTTTTAAAAATCATGGAAAAGCCTGTTAATGGAAAGAAGTAAATAATTGACTTTACACAGCATGCATTGATGTGTTAGTGACTTAAAAATCATTTTAGAGGGACGCCTGGGTGGCTCAGTCCTTAAGCGTCTGCCTTCGGCTCAGGTCATGATCCCAGGGTCCTGGGATCGAGCCCCGCATCGGGCTCTGTGCTCAGTGGGAAGCCTGCTTCTCCCTCTCCCACTCCCCCTGCTTGTGTTCCCTCTCTCGCTGTGTCTCTCTCTGTCAAATAAATAAGATTTTTTAAAAAAAAAGTCATTTTAGAAAAAAGCAGTAAATCTCTTGGAAGTTTCAACAGCTGTTCTAGAAGATTGGAGGACTAGAGGAAGATCACATTTGAAAACAAGATGATAAGAGACTAGGAGGCAAAAAAATAGCATGCGATAAAAATAAAGTAGAAATTATCCCTTTGAATGATAGCAACGTCCATGTTGTAAGGGCCAGAAACGATGGGAAAAAAATCCCTTAATAGAGTACTAAGTCAGGGTCCCTATTGTAATTTCTCTATCGTGTTACTGTCATTCTTAAAATGGCACGGAATGGAATTGGTTAGATGCCTGTTTCAAGTAATAAGCAACCGTTTGCCCTGAGAGGCAGTGCGGGCCAATGCCGAAAGCCCTGGACCAGAAGTGAGAACCCCAGCTTCCATTCTTTTTTTAAAGATTTTATTTATTTATTTATTTGAGAGAAAGAGAGCACGCACGGTGTGGGGCGGGGAGAGGGAGAAGCAGGCTCCTCATTGATCAAGGAGCCCAACATGGGGTTAGATCCCAGGACCCTGAAATCATGACCTGAGCCAATGCAGGCAGAAGCTTAACCAACCGACCAAGCCACCCGGGCGCCCCACCTAATGTCCATTCTTGATGCACCTTGATTTGCGAGGGTAGGCAAATTACTTAATCTCTCTAGGCCTCAGTTTTTAAATCTGTAAAACAAAAAGCATGGAAGTAGATGATACTTATGGTGTCTTTCAACTGCAGGATCTCCTGTGCCCTTCTTATCCATGTTAAAGAAAAATTCCGCATAGTTGTCAGTTTATAGAAGATTGTAAGCAAGACGTAGACCTCAAAAGATAAGAGCTGTAATTCAAATGTACCTTGATAAATTTGAATACTTGGTCAGAATTAAACCAAAAATGATTCATTAAAGCTAGGCATAGGGAAATATACCTGTTAAAAACAGAAAGTATAACTATTACAGATAAAATGCCAAAGAAAAGAATTGCCTTCATAAATGTAAGAATTAATAGTTGTATCGGGGCTCCTGGGTGGTGCAGTTGGTTAAGCACCCAACTCTTGGTTTTGGCTCGGGTCGTGATCTCAGGGTTGTAAGATCGAGCCCTGCATAAGTCTCTGTGCTCAGCATGGAGTCTGCTTGGGACTCTCCCTCCCTCTCCCTCTGCCCCTCCTCCCACCACTCATGTGCGGTCTTTTTTCCGCTCTCTAAAATAAATAAATCTTTAAAAAAAAAATTAATAGTTGTATGAAGCACAATAAGCAAAGATGTCAGATCAGCAAAAGAATAATATATAAAAATCATGAAATTGTTCTCTGATCAAAAAATCATACTTTATACATGTGATTATTCTCTGTGGACACTAATTTCTTTTCTAAACCTACCATTTCTTTCTTTTTTATTTAGGAAAGGGGGCATCAAAAAAACAAGCCAAGAGAAATGCTGCTGAGAAATTCCTTGCCAAATTCAGTAATATTTCTCCAGAGAACCACATTTCTTTAGTGAGTAATGATCAAGACACCTATGATGACAATGTGATTAAGCATCTCTTGCTCTAGGATACTTCCCTAGAGTCCTTGTCGTATGGACACTTGAGTTTTAATTTTTAAAAATCTTTTCACTGTTCAGATGTACATGACCCCAATTTTAGCTGTCACAAGGGTGACCAGGGAAGAGGGCATGGGAGACACATTCAAATTCAGAATCACATGATGGAATCTGAAGAGGATAAGCCATAGTGCCATTTTTGCCTTCACACTGACAGTGCATTCATTCATGTACACACTCAGCAAACATTTCGTGATCTCATACTGTGTGCCAGACCTTGCGCCAGGTTCTGTGCATACCGTGAATTAGATAGTCTCTCCCACTGGGGAGTTTGTAGCCTCCTGAAAGAGAAAAGAACCCGACAGACTGGTCCTTTCAGAGAGGGCTTGGCAACATAAAAGGATCCAACCAAGACTGGGGATTTCAGGAAGACTTCTTGGAGGAGGCAATATCTAAGCCAACACCTGCAGGATGAGAACAGAGGAAAAGAATTCCAGAGCACCTACAAAGACCAAGAGTAAAATATTAGCTGTCATCTGGGAACCGTAAATAGTTTGGCGTGGCCAGAGCAGAGGGTTGGAGGAGGGTGTCTCGGACAATGAGGCAAGAAAGGCAAAGAGGGATTAAGTCTGGAAGGGACGACTGTAGTCAGAGAGATTGAACTTTATCCTGAGGGTGGAGCAAAACCACTAAAGAATTTTAATCTGGTAAGGAGAGGCTTAGAAGGGAGTGACTGGCTGCCCTATGGGGATTGAAGAGTTTTAGACTTAGAGACCTGTAGGCTGTTGTTACAGAAAATGGATGAGGAATGATGGTGGCCGTCGACACGGTCAGTTTAAAAATTATTTCGAAAACTGGGGTGAATAGGGCATGGTAATTGATTTGGATGTGGGGAGTAAGGAAAAAGGAGAAAGCAAATATTTTTCCATTGGCAACTCAGTAGACGGTGGTACCATTCAGTAATATGAGGAACACAGAAGGTGAGTGGGACTTGACGGAGAGAAGATAATGAGTTAATATCTACAGTGAGTAGGATATATTGAATCTGAAGTGTTTGTAGAATATGTTAAGATACTGAGTAGGCAGCTGGGCAAACAGATACAGAGCGTAAGAGATTGAGCTATACATGACATATTATTTGAGATTATGATATTCATAGATAGGTACATCTCGTGGTACATTATCTGAGGATTTATTAGGTGGGGAATGAGAAGTGAGGACTATAGCAGTGTCCTAGTTGATGATAATAAAGGGCTCATTCTGTAGGAAAAAAAAAAAATCAAAGACTATACACAAAGTAACATAATTTTGGTTTTACCTTCTTAATAGAAAAACATAAACGTTGCATTCACGTCTTTTAAAATTGGATCAGAGATGACACCAAAATCACAAAGCACAAATAGGTTTATAAGTGGTTTCATAGGTGAATTCTGTTAAATCTTCAAGGAAGAAGTAATTTCCAATGCTATTTAAATTCTTCCAGGCAATACATATATACGTAGGGCAGGCTTCTAAATTTATTTTTCAAAACCAACATAACACTAACACCAAAACCTGACAATAGCAAATCGCAATGGAAAAAATTATGGATTAATCTCCCTTATAGTGAAACACCTTAATAAAATATCTAGTACAACAGTAAAAGAATAATGTACCATAGATAAGTTGGGCTTATTTCAAGAATGCAAGGATATATCTGTTGCAATTCAGGAATGCAAAGATAGGTTCTGTAAATCTGTTACTATAATTAATCACCTTAATGGGTCAAAGGAGAAAAACAGTCAATGGATGCCAAAAAGATATTTGGCAATCATTGATAAACACTTTTAAAATATCCCTGTTGTTTTGAGACACAGAACAGATGAACATAGGGGAAGGGAAGGAAAAGTAAAGTCAGATGCAAATAGAGAGGGGGACTCCCGGGTGGCTCAGTCAGTTAAGCGTCTGCCTTCAGCTCAGGTCATGATCCCAGGGTCCTGGGATTGATTTCCGCATCCGGCTCCTTGCTCAGCTGGGAGCCTACTTCTCCCTCTGCCTGCCGTTCCCCCTGCTCGTGGCGTGCTCACATGCTCTCTCCCTCTGACAAATAAATAAAATCTTAAAAAAAAGAAAGAAAATAGGGAGGCAAACCATAAGAAATGCTTAATTCTAGGCAACAGGGTTGCTGGAGGGGAGGTAGGTGAGGGGATGGGGTATCTGGGTGATGGGCATTAAGGAGGGCACTTGATATAATGAGCACTGGGTGTTATATACAACGGATGAATCACTAAATTCTACCCTTGAAACTAATAGTACACTATATGTTAAATAAATTGAATTTAAGTAAAGAATTAAAAAAGGAGATAAAAATGATCATTAACTACAAATATGACTGTGTCCCTGTAAAGCCCTGTAAAAGAAAAACTGCTAGAATAAGAGAATTCATCAAGGTAACTGATCATAAAATTAATATATAAAACCAATAGCTTTTTCATATTTAGGATTATGAAGGTAACCACTAGAATAATTAAAGAAGAAAGTCAAAAATTGCTTCTGGAAAGGGGACTGAATGTAGGGATGGAATGAGGCTCAGGATTGTTGCTTTTATAATTCTGTACTCCTTGACTTTTTGTGGTGTTATATTAACAAAATTTATGAAGTTCGGTAACATTGATACTTTTATAGCGAAATAGAAATCTGTCCTAAAAAAGTATACTAGGAAAAAAAAACCAATAGTTTTTCCGTTTACAAATACTAAGAGGTAGAATGAAAAAGATCTCATTTTCAAGAATAGAAAAGAGGCTAATGTGCTGGGGAATAAACTTAAAATGTGCAGACCCATGTGGAAAAAATTTCAAAACTGCTGAGGGATTTAACAGAAATTGAATTAATGTAAAACGACCTATTTTCAATAGGAAGACTCAATATTGTAAAATATATAAAAAAGTAATGTAGTCTCACTCAAAATCTACCAGAATTCATCTTGGATCTCAATACAGCTTTACCAAGTTTATCTGGAAAAATAAACTCTCCAGAATAGCCAAGAAAACTGAAAAGGAAGAGTGCAGGAGGTGGGATTATGCCTACCGGAGAATAAAACCTACTCTAAATCTCTAGTATTGAAACACGTACTGGTACAGGGATAGACGGGGGACAGAGATAGATAATAATCCCCATAGGAGCAGAGTATATGACAATAGTGAGACTTCAGATCAGTGGGCAAAAGGATGGATTATTCAATAAATAGTGTAGACACAAAGCCACATTTATGGGGGGGGTGGAGGGGAAGATGTATCTATCTGTGTGTGTGTGACATATTTAGGTTGCTCCCTTACTCCTTAAAATAAATCAAAAATTTGAACATAAGAATTGAAACCAAGGGCGCCTGGGTGGCTCAGTCGTTAAGCGTCTGCCTTCGGCTCAGGTCATGATCCCAGGGTCCTGGGATCGAGCCCCACATCGGGCTCCCTGCTCTGCGGGAAGCCTGCTTCTCCCTCTCCCACTC